AGCTGAAAAAATGTTTACATTTGCACAAGGAAGCTGAAAGAAGCTGAAGCAGAACAAAATGTGAAAGGAGCAGTAAAAGGTTGTAAACAAATCTAAAGATCTGAAGGATGTAAAATGAGCTCAATTAATTTTAAGTAAGAAAAAAGGGGCAAAAAAGGCAAAATATTTCAAAAAGCTAAAGTTGCACCATTACCAAAAGTCATAGGATTCTCCTGAAAGAGCTGAATATTTTGATATGTGATTTGTTGAAATAGCTTGAAAACGGCAGAACGAGAATCGTGCAGAAAAATGTATGAAAGAAAAAAATGGATCACAGTTGTGTGAACGCTTCATAAGCGTTCACACAACAAGACCAGACAACAACAAATACAAACTGGTACCACTGCTTGACAGAAAATGATTTGACTGCAGAGGCGTTCTGGCAAAAAAATAAAAAATAAAAAAATCACTACGATTTTTTAAAGATTTCCAGTCACAACAAAGCCTGAAACAAACAAACTTGAAATTGTTCCAAGTGTCATTTTCTTGACAAAATAAACAACAGCTGTAAAAAAAAAAATCACTGGTTTCTATTAAGAGATTTTCCTTGAATCATTTATTTGATCTTAAAGAGACTGTGCTTTAAACCAGCATCACATTTTTTTAAGAACTGGATTTTTTTTTGTGGGAAAACAGAATTTTCTGGGAGCAACTGAGAGAAAATCACTTAGTATATCATGGATATTTTTGTTAGTTAAATGTGAGTTTTGTTCTAAATAAATCTCACTTTTAATGCATAACAGGCAATAGATGTTAAAAAAAAACGGCTATATCTGCATCACATAAATAACTTTTTTTAATGACAGGATTATAATTCAAGTTTTGCTTCTAATTCTACTTGTGCTTTTAATGATAAACAGCAGAGATTAGCTTCGTCACCTCCGTTCCACTCAGGAATCTCTTTTATTCTAATCTAAACTCCAATCAGCCTCAGTGGAATCAGGGCAGTTCTTGAGCTTGTTATTGTGCGTTTATGCTTAATCTTTCACTCGGAACACAAAGGTCCAGCCGTAGTCGCTCAGAGCCTTCAAGAGTTATCGCTACTGTTGTCAAACGTTTCCCCTAATTGTTTCCTTCCTACTATAGTTTAAAAGGGTCACTATGAAAACACTATTAATGAAAAAACTAAAGAAAAAGCGCTGTTCTCAGAAGAAACGTACCCAAGTTGGAGCGGGTGTTGGAGCGCTCGATGATGGCGTGCTTGCTGGGGTTGTTCAGGACCGAGCGTTTGGCGAGTGAGATGTCCGCCGTGACACGAGTGATGGAGATTCTGAGAAAATAAAAAAGAAGTTTGACTGATCAAATAATTCTGGCTTTGAGAAAAAAAAAAGCGATAGTACCGTACATTAGAAAGAAATTACAGCATTATTTTAGATTCTGCTGTCACCCAGAACCAACTAAAAAAAGTATAAAAATAAAATTCCTATTAAGTTCATTTTGTTTCCTTTTTCCTGTCGTGTGATTTAGCCAAGTGGAGATTTTGATGTGGATTGTTGATCTAATTTGTCAGAGTGGAAGTAGTTTCTTTAGGAAATTAGCCTCAAAATTGTTCAATTTTTTGGAACCGGGTCACGATTTCTGGGCAGAAACACAAGTTGTTTGTCTAAATGCACACTCATCAGGTGAAAAATTATGACCACTGAAGGACAGTGTATTTTTAACTGTAATGATCTACTGGAAACACATGCACCATAACGCTATGACTGATCGGTAGAAAAGAATAGGCTCTGACAGAAGTTGTAGAAAAAGCAAAACGTCATCCAAAATCAAATTTAAGTGAACCGTATCTTTCAACAACAACACGCAAATAATGAGAAAGAAAATCTATTTTATTAAATAAAAAATAAAAAAGTTTTACCGTACAGTAAATTAAATGCTATATGCATCTTTTATTTACATAGGGACAAAACACTGAAAACCATCAGAGAAATCACAACTAGGCCTGTCACGATAACAAATTTTTCTGGGCGATTTAATTGTCTCAGAAATTATTGCGATAAATGATAATATTGTTTGAAATTTGACAATAATTAGTAACTGTTAGGGCAGCACGATGGCACAACTGGTAGAGCTGCTGCCTCTAAGCGAGCAGGTCCCTGGTTCAAATCCCCGGTCCGGGGGCCTTACTGGGTGGAGTTTGCATGTTCTCTCTGTGCATGTGTGGGTTTTCTCCGGGTACTCCGGTTTCCTCCCACAGACCAAAAACATGCATGTTAGGCTGATTGGGAACTCTGAATTGTCACTAGGTGTGAGTGAGAGAGTGAATGGTTGTTTGTCTCTATGTGGCCCTGTGATGGACTTGCGACCCGTCCAGGGTGTACCCCGCCCCTCGCACAGTGATTGCTGGACATGGGCACCGGCAACCTCCGTGACCCAAAATGGAAGAAGCGGGTAAAAGATAATGGATGGATGGGATGGATAGTAATTGTCAAATTGAAGAAGAAATGTTAATTTTTGTGTGTAGTACCTTTTTTGACCACTGGATGGCAGTATAAGACAGTTTGAATTGAAGGATGGATAGTGAGGGAGCGAGCAGCGTGTCTCTTTAAGAAAAATGGGAGGGAGGCCTCTTGACGTGACATGAGCTGTTTCTCCTTCCTATTTTTCGGTTCTCAAAATGGCGGATGCTCTGTGCATTTTGAGCTCTTTAGCATTGCATTTGTCATACAAAGCTTTTACTTAAAAAAAAGGGCAGTAAACAAGTTTTCAGCTTCTTTTTGCAAAGAAAAAAACAACTTTTACACAAAGGCACGGGTTTCAACTGTGAATTTTGGAGCTTTGACAAGACGAAGGTTTTTCCATAGGTCGACCTGTTAGCTTAGCACGTAGCTTAGCTTCTCAGCTTAGCTGCTTTTAATGATCCTAAAATGTGATTTTGGATGGTTAAAACAGATTTTAAAGAGAAAAGAGAAAGGGAGGGGTCAGTGAAGAGCACCGGAGTTGAGCTTTTTATCATCCAGTGTCTTCAGTAGAAAGAGAGAGACACATAGAAACGATAAAGCCGATAAATGAAAATGAGGTTGATAATTTTCATAAATCATGCGATTAATTGATTTATTGTGTATTGCGACAGGCCTAATCACAACCTCAGTCTTGTCTGAGTTTAAAAGCAGAAAATTAAGGGTCATCAAGGTTTTTATGTCTTTAAGACAAGCTTGTAGTCTAAGTAGCTGATTGGATTCATCGGGTTTCATGGACAAATATAACTGTGTATCATCAGCATAACAATTAAAATTTACCGTATTTATCAGACTATATGGCACACTTAAAATCCTTTAGTTTTCTCAAAACTCAACAGTAAGCCTAATAATCCGGTGCACCTTATGTATTAATTCTGGTTGTGCTTACTGATCTCGAACTGATTTATGTGGTAAACGGCGCTCAAAAATCTGTCAAAATGTTTTAGTTTTGCTTAATGCGCCTTATGAAAATAGACCCATTCATTGATATTGCACCTTAATCCGGTGCACCTTATAGTCCAAAAAATACGGTATCTCATGCTGTTTAATAACTTTACCTAATGGAAGCATATATAAGGTAAAGAGTATTGGTCCAAGCACTGAACCCTGAGGAACTCCATGCCTAACTTTGGTGTATGAATAAGATTCATTGTTTACATTTACATTCAGTCTTCAATAAGCTGGAGAAGCTTCTAAAAGCTGAAGAGTTTCAAAAAGATTGGAAACACAGACAAACGTTTTATATTAAAAAAATTTATGACAGTTTTCAGATCAGTTTCGAAATGAACTCCTGAGCATCCCAGCTGTTTTATCCAAATCAAACTGGCCAGCTCACTGTTGAAAACATCTCCCGAGTGAGATTAGCAAATCATTGCTTTATGAAAGACTTTTAAAGTTTGCTACATTTTGCTTTTCAGCACTTATGAAATGAGTCTGCTGATTTAAAACAAAAAAAATACTTCATTAGTCTTTATGAATGTATTTGTTCTCGTTATTTATGTGGGGGGGGGGAAAAGCAAGAAACAGAGGGAGCATGTTTTGTTGGAGAGATATGACTCTCAGGTGAAAAGTGAAACAAACTAACTTAAAATCAAAGTCAAATGACGAAAAAATTTGAACAGACTCACGTCAAATAATTACTTTTCCCTGTGGATATTTGGAGTAGATTTCAGTGAAGTGTAACTTCATGGTCTCAACATTCAATAAGACGAATCCTGCTCTGCTGCAGGGCTCGCTATAGCCTATTAAGGACATGCACAGGGCCTATTTAAAGCAGCAGCACACATCTCTAGGCCAAACAAACTTGTTACACACTACCTCAGCTAACCTCTGGGGACAGATAAATACCAGCCGAGGAAAAACGGAGAAGGAAGTGGGGTAAGAGCTTGTTTTAGGACAACGGAGAACTTACCTTCCCTCAAATCTGTGTTTCAGAAAGTCGAACAGCGCTTTTTGCATCATGTCTGTCACCTGTTTACGAGATTCAAAAAGGGAAGCTGATTAAGGACCAGATTTTTCTCACAGAATGAAAATAAATAAAGGTTGTGTTTGAAATGTTGAAAAAAAACCTCGTAGCCCTTCAGCGACGGTCCAACCAGAACCACAGGCCGCATAGAAGGCACAACGTCGTACGGAGGAATGTGTTCTGTCTTTGAAAGGCAGAAAAATAAATTATTTAGTCACACTTTTATAGAAACGGGATAAACGCTGTCACAAAACACTTAAGGGATGTTAAAACACCAAAATAGATTTTAGATGTTAAAAAACACCGGAACACAACAGAACCATGTAACAGAATGTCTCAATGAGGCTGATAAAACTCAGTCTTTTTATTTGTAGACAGATTTTTTTAATTTTTACTATGATCAATAACATAATTGGGGAGTGCCTAGTAAGGCAGCCACTTATTATTATCCACCTGACAAGGGTTTCTTAACTTTATATCTTACTCTTCCGTCAAATTGAACGAGGCCCGAACCACAATGTGTACACCCACAAATGTTATATCAAAATGACCGGCTCGGCACCGTGATGTGTGCTATTACTTTTATTGGTTTTTCGAATTACCATGGCAACGTAATTTGCAAACAAAATACTCATATGCTGGTTGCAAATAAAATATCCAGCCACCTGAGCTAAAAAGAAAAATATACTGTAAATTTGCCATTTTTTAGAGATATTAAGCTGAAATTTGGTATGGTGGTAGCTGAGAACAAACACATAGTACTGTCAAATCAAAATTTTTAAATGGCCGCCACATGGCAGTCCCCATCAAAGTTTCTCCAGGAGTGTTCTAGTTAATTTAATCTGATATGTGACTAATCTCATCTGTCTCATGGTCCTGATGTCAAACAGCGCAGGACATGCACAAAAAACAAAAACCCAAACTACAGGAAAGAGAGGAGAACAAGACAAAAGGTCAACAGAGACTAAAAGTGAAAGTCTTCAGGACAGACAGTCATGCTCGCTGTTGTCAAAGTGGGAGATCAGTTCAAGGGACAGCCTCAGTTACAGACTAGCATAATATAGTCCAGTCACCTGACCAGTATCAGTGCAGATTTATTAAAGTGATTCGGTTCTTTTTTTCTGTTTATTGTGTGAACTCTGATCCAGCATTCACATTTTACATTTTTTTTTCATATTTTTAGCAATCTAACTACTTCTACATTCACTGTGCTATTTTAGGTATTCATATATCACAAAGTGGGCGGCACTACTTACAGCTTTTATCTACATTTTTGCTATTTTCATCTTTTCGCTGCTTTTTTTGTTAATTTTAGTGTGTAGTTATTTTGCTGATTTTAACTTTAAGCATAGTTTTGTTAACTTTAGCTTATTAGTAGCTTCTCTTAAGCTTGTTTTAACTTGACACCATTGCTTAAAGTTCCTGTTGAGTCTTGTGGTCACTGTTCTTGTTTAAAAGCATGACAAGCATCTTTCCTTTTGAAGTTTCTATAGTTCTAGTAAATTTAATTTCAGCTTACTTTATGCACAAATTGAGTCCAATTATTTTTATGACAGTAGGTCATGTGGTACTTTCAGTACCCATACTTGCGTGGGTACAAAAAGGAGCTGTCTGCCACAGGACAGAAGTACAACCTAACCAGCAGCATAATTTTAACACTCCGGCTCTTGTCCAGGAAGCATTTTGTGCTCATTTAATAATAATAAAATATAAAATAAAAACTTGTTTTTGAAAATGTCTATGAAATCAAATAGAGAAAAATCTATATGTATACTATAACATTATTTTAGTAAGCTAAGGCGGAATATAATAGTGTGAATGTTTATGAAGCATTCACACTATTGTGATCCATTTTTCATCTGTATGTTTTTCAGCATCTTTCTCGTTCCACAATTTTTGTGCTATTTCAGCAAATCTTATATCAAAATGTTCAGCTTGTTAAGGAGGAGGGTGCTATGATTTTTGGTATTGGTGCAAGTTTAGCTTTTTGAAATATTTAGCCTTTTCTGCCACTTTTTTTTCTCATAAAATAAATTGAGCTCATTTTACATCCTTCAGATCTTTAGATCTGTTTACAACCTTTTACTGCTCCTTTCACAATTTGTTCTGCTTCAGCTTCTTTCAGCAAATTTTAACATTTTTTCAGCTACTTTCAGCTGTTTTTTCAGCTGTTTTGTGATCCTTTTAGATTCTTTCTGCTATGTTTGTGCTCTTCTAACTTCTTTCTGCTAATTTCAACTTGTTATGCTCCATTCAGCTTATATATGCAAGTTTCAGCTTTTCTGCTATTTCAGCTGCTATTTAGCTGTTTTATGCTAATTTTAGCCATTTCAACTAATTTCACATTTTTTGAAACCGTTTCAAATTTTTTCAGCCTAATTCAACAATAAGTGTGCTCTCTCCACTTCCTTCAGGCAATTTAAGCTTCTTTCTGCTTTTTATCTACTTTTCAGCTGTTCTTTTCTTATTTCATTTTTTTTCAGATAATTTCCACTTTTTTGCGCTCATTTCCACTTCTTTCAACAAATGTGTTCTATCTGCTTTCTCTTGCTAATTTAAGCTTGTTTTACCTTTTCAGCTACTTTTTAAAAAACATTTTTTTTAGCTAATTTCAGATGTTTTCAAATAAAGTCACGTTTTTGTAGTAATTTCTGCAACTTTCAGCCTAAATAACTTACTTCTGCTAAATTCAGCTTGCTATGCTTCTTTCAGATTTTTTCTGCTAGTTTCAGGTTTTTCTGCTATTTCAGCTACAGTTTTTGTGCTAAATTTAGCTTTTTCAGCCAATTCCACTTTGTTTTTTGTTTTTTTAGCTCATATCAGCTCCTTCCACTTCTTTCTGGTAGTTTAAGTTTCTTTTTGCCTTTTCAGCTACTTTTCAGCTATGTTTTGCTAAAATCAGCTTTTTTATAGTTAATTTCTTATTTTTTGTGCTAATTTCTGCTTATTTAAACCTAATTCATCAAATATGTGTTCTTTATGCTTCTTTTGGCCAACTTTGGCTTGTTCTTCCATTTCAGCTACATTTCAGCATGCTTTAGCTAATTTCAGCTGTTTTTCAGCAAGTTCTTCAGCAATAAACATTTACTCTGCATTTTCACAGGAAATGCAGTTTCTCTAGTTTTATTTTATTTTATTGTCAATATTAAACTCAGTCTGTTTGTCTGAATTTGGGAGTTTAACACTGCCCTGTGTCTGAGCAGCTCGCCTGAAGAATGTGCACGTGTGTCAGCACATAAGAAACATTTAAGTTCTTTATTTACAAAAGCAAAAACAATTCATGATCTAAGCTGAAATTTGGAGGCCAGGCAGCTGGGAAGTTATTTTCTCAGTTCTCCTGTACTTGCTTGGTTTGTTTTGTCTTTTAGATAAGTGTTTCAGTGAGTTTATTATGGCTTCTTTCTTGTATTCTATCAGCCCCTCTTACTCATCAACCCACTTCTAAACATTTTCTACCATTTGCTGTCGTCACCGAGCTTCCCCCGGGTCGTTGTGGGAACTGATGCACACTGCTGCAGGCTTTGAACTGAGCTATTATTGAACAATGTGATTCTGCTTAAATACTTTAAGTCGATCCAGTTCGTCTTAATAACAGTTAATCATGTGAAACAAGGCTTGTTGTCAAAATGTGCATGCCTGAACTATTCTGTATTTATCTACAATGGTTTTCTACTAATTCATATGAATTATTTTTGTCTGATGGTAAAATTTATATTGATATCAGGCAGAAAGTAACATTTTCTAGGTGCCATGGTTACTATTTATAACTGAGAGTATTTTATAGTCAGTTAAGCTCATGATTTATCAGAGTCTTAGATAAAAAGTTACTTGAAGTTCTTCACGTTTCTATCAGATCTTGTCAATGAATTAATAATAAAGAACAGACATTGACTTCTGATGGAACGTCTCACACTGAGGTCCCACTGAGTTAGCGTTTCAAGATCACAAACAGATACAGAGGAACAACAAGAGGGGTGGGGGGTCAGAACAGAGGTGAACTCTCCTGCTAGGGAAAGGCCGACCCTGCTGTGTTGTCGCTCTGCACTCCAGAACTTACCGACTTCTGCTTCTGTTTAGCTGTGGTGGGACGGAGAAGGAAAGAGAAAGAGGTTAAGAACCGGCATGCATGTTAATAGCAGTGTGTTGACAAACAGGACGGGCGCTGAGTGAGGTCGAGCAGCCGCAGACGTTTTAGCCAGAGCCGTGCCAGCGGGCAGGGAAGAAGAGAGGGGTGAGGTGGTCTAGATTTTACCTTCTTAAAGAAGGTCATTCGTTTCTCTTTTGCAAGATGTGATATAACCGTATTTGGATTGGCTTTAGGGGAGCGCAGGTTGACGTGGAGCTCGTTTTCCTCGAGGTCTAAACCTGTGGCGTCTATGTCAACAGCTACCCACACAGACAGACAAGAGCAACATTAAAGAGAGACGGACGATCGCTGGGGATGGGAAACGCTTCACATCAATTACAGCACAGAACGTAAATACTACAAAGACCATAAAGGAAATGCTGAAAATTACACTTGTGCCACAAATAATATATATTTAACTGATACCTGCATTTTACCTTTATCTGACCAGGTTGAGTCAGGTCCTCTGGATGGGTTCATTTTTTTAAAAACATTTTATCCTTTATCCAAAAGACTTCTTCAGTATGAGGAGCTGCAACAAACTCAGTCTTATAAGCAGCTAGGGCTGGACAATAATTTAATATCAATATATATCACAATATACTTTTATTCAATAACAGTGATATGAGTTTTAAGGACATTTTCAATATTTCGATATACATTACGTTATGATTACAGCGTTTCAGTGAGCATTTTTCTCTTCAGGTTCAAGCGGCCGCTTCAACCGCACAACTGTGTTAGCGCGTGGTGATGTACAGAAAGAATCAGCGGTAGCAGGCTAGGCTAGGCTCCAAATCGCGGTAAGTTTTTGCTTCAGAATGATCTAACTTGTTCCACCATCTGAAAAGTTTCCACTCGATAGAATATGCTGAGAGTCAGAAGATGAAGCACAATGTGTCCCTGAAACAACTCCCCCAGCTGTATCAAAAGAAAAACCCATGGGTTAGGTTACGTTATTGATTAAAGTGAAAACTATTAATATTGACAAAGTTGAGAGTTTTATGTTTATTTGACGGTGATTTCATTTTTTAAGGCGAACTACAAATAAAAGGTGAACATTAATTTATTTGTACAGTTTGTACAGTTTTTCTGAGGCTTGTTTATATCGATATCGGAATTATATCGTTATCGATCGAAGTTAAGAAATATATTGTGATAAAAGTTTTGGCCATATCGTCCAGCCCTATAAGCAGCACCTTCTCATAGTGGATCAGCCAGTTTGCTGATGAAGTCCAGAACTAGTTATTCCCAGACCAGTGGTCATTCTGTATTTTGTGGGAGTTTTAGAGAAACTGACATTTATTTTCTAAACATAATGTCCCAGTGTCTTTTAAACCCCAAAATACATTACGGCAAAGACTGGTCCATCCCAAAGATCCAGTCCTCAGGCACAGAGTAATATTGTGTATGCTGTTCAGTGTCAGGGCTGTGATCAGTCTTACATTGGGGGAAACTAAACAGCCACTGGCCAAAAGGATGGCCCAGCACAGAAGATCAACATCATCAGACCAGGACTCTGTGGTCTGCACTCATCTCCAGGCCAGCGGTCACTCGTTCAGGGATGAAGATGTTCACATCCTTTATAGAGATGAACAATGTTTTGAGAGAGGAGTGAAGGAGGCCATCTTTGTGAAGAGAACTCGTCCATCATTAAACAGGGGCGGAGCCCCCCGCGTTCAATCGTCACCCTATCACAATCAACTCAGTTCTCTGTGAATAGCAAGTGGCCATAAGGGCACTGACAATCAGTCGTCAGGCTGATGGTCCTCCTTTTGCATGTGAACAATTAGTTTTGGCTGTCACCAGCAAACTGGCGTCTTAAAAGACAAGTTTGGTGCAGCTCCTCAGACTGAAGAAGGCTTTTGGGTGGCTGTGGCTGAGCGGTTAAAGCAGTCATCCTCCAATGCAAGAGTTCGGGGTTCGATTCTACTAGTCGTCACATGCCAAAGTGTCCCTGGGCAAGACACTGAACCCCTCATTGCCTCCGATGTGTGTCCCATTGGTGTATGAATGTGATAAAGCTCTGATTAGTCTTTGTATAGATCTAGTAGAGTGCTGTATGAATGGGTAAATGAGGGCATAAATTGTAGTGTAAAGTGCTTTGAGTATCTTGATAAGATAGAAAGAGGCTATATAAGTACAGTCCATTTAACATTTTGGATAAAAGACGAAACATTTCAACAAGAAGAACCCGTCCAGAGGACCTGACTCCACCTTGTTCGATTTATCTACCTGGATGCGCATGCATCAGAACACTTTACCTTTATATCGTTTTCAGTAGTTAACTGTTGGTTTACAAGACCAAAGCAAATATTGAGGGCAAAGTTTGTTTCTAACACTCCTACTCACCAGATGAAGGAGGAGTAGATTTCCTTGAATTAGGAACCACTTCACCTAAACTAGACGATGAGTTTGCTCCAAGTTTACTGAAATGGCAGATTTTTGTCAAGTAAGATAAACAAGAAGAAACAAAGCAGATACAAATTATCACCAAATGAGGTGAAAAGAACATATCTTAAGCACCGATCCTGTCTCTTACCTGGAGTAAAACTTGCCCTGTTTGGCTCTCTGCTCCTGGAGGATGCGAGTGTTTTCAAGCTTCACCGGACTGGGAATGAAGCCAATTTCACAACCTTCTTTCACCAGACGTCCTATCCACCAGTCGTTGTTGAATTTCTGCATAAATAACACATGACAACTATGCTGAGCAACCGTCTTATTAGCATCCCTATTGTGAATATCAACACTGTGGAATTACCTCTTTGACATGAAGGAAGTCTTTAGCTTCAAAGGAGATGGCCATCCCTGGCACGGGGACGTCATCGTCATGACACGGGCTGTAGCTGACATTGGTGCGAACGCCAAATGCAACTGGTTTAGTCTATCAGAAGGCGCAAAACAGAAAGACAAACACAAATGTCAGATTTCAGAGAAGCCTTAAATGACAGAAAAGAAAACACACTGTAGCTTTAGGTTAACAGGAAAGACATGACCAAAATGTCAAATAGTTGATCTTTTGTTCACTCTGGGAGAGCTGTGAGTCTCATTTTTTTGTCCAAAATGTAAAAATAACTTGTGAGATACATGCAGACTTGGACTTCTCTCCAGAAATGTCCTGCTTTTGAATTGTGCTCCTGCTATGTGTTTAACTTCTGTTACGATTCAGTCTCATTGTGGCAGAGATTAATGCTTCAACACCTTTAGTAGAAATCACAAGCTGCACAAACAGCACAGGGATAATAAATCAATCCAACAATCTTTATAATGGCAGAATCAATACTGACCTTCCTGCCTAATAACAGCTGGCCTTCCCTTTTCAGATATATAATCATTAGGATAAAGCCAAATCTAATGAAATATCCTCTGTAATCTGAGTAAACTGGTAATTTAGCAACTTCAATACAGCTACGTTAAAAAAGCGACATAAAAAATAAAACAACAGGTGAACTACTTTTTGAAGATTTAAGAGTTATATGACATTCTCCTGAACATAATCTTGGAGCCGGTCTGGCGGTAGCGGCTGCAGCAGTTGATCCACATGGTCCTGCCCTCGACCAAATTACATTACTCAGCCTGGGACGGAGTGAAAAGCATGATAGATGTCAAATGAAAAGCAAAAATAAATGCACAAGGATGCGGCTTACAATAATCCCTCGGTGTAAACTCGCATGCTAAATATTTACCTACGGATAAAAAAAGAGGAAGATGGTGAAAATGGTGTATAATATTCAGCTTGATGATTACAAAGTGAACCCACCAGACCAGAGTTTGGTGCTGTAATTCAGTTGGACAGTGTTAGAGGAATGCTTTCAAATCTGGCCCGCTGTAGTGATTTTATTCTAGCCGGACCACAATCTGATTTTCTCTAAGCAACCAGAAAACAAAATAGTGTTGGGCTTGTGTCATAACTGCATGATAAATGGGCAATATATTTATCCACATCCTTCGCTGATTTGGAGATAATACAGTTTGTTGTGCTGCAGTTTTAAAGCTGCAACAGCTGATGCTCTGACCATGTGTGGAAATAGGCCTGTCACGATAACAAATTTTGCTGGGCGATTAATTGTCTCAGAAATTATTGCGATAAACGATAATATTGTTTGAAAGTTGACAATAATTAGTAATTATTGTCAAATTTAAGAAGAAATGTTGGTTAATTTGTTTTGAGTGTAGGACCTTTTTCAACCACCGGATGGCAGTATAAGACTGTCTGAACTGAAGGATGGATAGTGAGGGAGTGAGCAGCGTGTCTCTTTAAGAAAAATGGGAGGGAGGCCTCTTGACATGACATGGGATGTCTCTCCTTCCTTTTTTTTCAGTTCTCAAAATGGCGGACGTCTCGGCAAGACAAAGGTTTCTTACCGAGGTTGGCCTGTTAGCTCGTAGCTTAGCTTCTCAGCTTAGCTGCTTTTAACAATCCAAAAATGTGATTTTGGACGGTTAAAACACATTTTAAAGAGAAAAGAGAAAGGGAGGGGTCAGTGAAGAGCACCGGAGTTGAGCTTTTTGTCATCCAGTGTCTTCAGTAGAAAGAGAGACGAAGAAACTGATAAATGAAAATGAGGTTGATAATTTTCATTTATCATGCGATTAATTGATTTATTGTTTATCGCGACAGGCCTATGTGGAAACAAGCTAAAAGTCCCATAATGACCTCGGTAGATTAATGTTATCACCTACATTCCCCTCTAGTATCCATCCATTGTCTTTACTTGTGTCTTCCTTTCTGGGTCGTGGGGGGTCACTGAGTTAAAAGAATGAACTAACTGGAGTTGGTGACTAGATCATTAACCTATGGTCATAGCAATAACACTTAAAAGAAAGCCAACACTGAGCTTTTACTTCATGTGTTAAAAAATGCTATGATCATGATGTGGTTGTCACAGTTTTTACTTTTAGTCACCAAGCGGTAAAAGCTTTTATCGCTGACTGAACATCTGATTAAATGACTTGAAAACAAATGGCAATGTGTTAAAAAAAATAAAATCCCACACTTTGACTGCTTGGAAATATTTTATGATGAGGACAGGCGCCTTCTCTATTAAAACATCAGTTTTATTTTAGAAAATCTTCCAGACTGGTGCATTTGAACAAGAAAAAAAAAAGAAGTTTTTAGTCTTTTTGTTACTGTAAATCCTTTTGGTTTAGATGAACTGAATATTATTTAATGAAACTGATAGATGATTCTGTGTCACTTTTATTTTGGTAACAGGAAGTGTTTGAGTGCATCAAACCATGTCAGAAATTGTTTTATGCCAATCAACCTGTAGTTTTTATGACTATAAAGTTTTTTGTTAGTATTTGCGATGATGATTGGATTGTTGTAACCTGTTCCCTGGATTCACATGGAAAACTTATTTTACATAAATTTTTATTCTTACCAAACATTTTCTGTTAAACTTCCTCAGTGGAAAATAAATAATTACAATGTACAACAGTGTTTTAGGGCCATTGTAATTAAAAACAAACAAATAAAAGGAGTTGGATTGAAGCAAAAAAAAAAAAAAAAATGTAGACATTTGGAAACTAATGTGGAATTTATATGTGGGGGAGAAAAATCCAGGCTTCCGGGAATAAAGTCTTAAATTTACTTAAAAATAAAAAATAAATAAATAATACTCCACAGATGTTTGCAGATCTTAAAAGTATAATTTTCTGGCAGGAGAAATGAGGGTTCAAATTCCCCAGCAGTCACACGTTGAAGTGTCCCTGGGCAAGACACTGAACTAGGGATGCACAATATTATTGGCATGGTATCGGTATCGGCCGATATTAGCGTTAAAATTAAATATCGGACATCGGCCATTCCATCAAAATAACTCACCGATATAAAAGACTGTTTTTATATAACAACCCAGTGACAAGGATGCCTGCAGCACCAGCACAACGTGATGACGTCACGCACGCCTACCAGATTTGATCATGGCAGAGAAGAAGTCAAACTGTTGGCGGTGTGGAAGTTTTTTTTTTTGTTGAGGATATTGGATTCATAAGATTTTGGACTACGTTGAGCCTCGCTACATCCTCCCCAGTCTGAGATATTTTTCAGACCTAGACTTACCCGAGTTACAAGCCATCATTTCCGACGTCATTGAGAAGCTAATAGCTGATCAACAGCACTTGGGTGAGTTTTACCACAAACATTTGGACGTCACGTGTTAGCCACATTAGCATGATTAGTCTTACGGCACAATAGATAGACAAAAACTTTGAACTTAAAAAGTCTGTCCTTCATGCACAAGAGTGCAGAGGATCCCACGCTACAGCTAGGAACCTGGAACAAGCCTCCACAAGTGAGACAGCATCGCAGGTGACTAATGCTAATATATATTGAATATTGGCCAAAAATCCAATATCGTGCATCTCTAAACTAAACACCTTACTGCTTCCAATGTGTGTTCCATCGGTGTATGAATGTGATAAAGCCCTGATTAGTCTCTTTAGAATGATTGGCTTTATAGAGAGCTAGTAGAGTGCTGTATGAATGGGTAAATGAGGGCAAAGATTGTGTTGTAAAGTGCTTTGAGTGTCTTGATAAGATAGAAAGGCGCTATATAAGTACAGTCCATTATTATTCCTGCTTCATTATTTCAAACAGGTAATGATTCTCAATTATCAACGTTGTAAAATGCCTATGTAATGGAATTTAAATGATAAAGACAACTAAAGAATAACAAAAATCCAGGTATTTTTCTCAAACCGACAGAAATGGAAATACTCAGTGGGGTGATGGTTTTAAGGTGTATGTGAGTGTGACGGTCACATTGAGGTAAACATCCAACCTGGTGTGTGCAAAGCTGGGACTCACAGAGGACAGAATGTCCTTTGCATGCACAGTCACATTCCTGCATGAAGGTATGAAGTCCATTATAAATTTATAAAATGTGCTGACTCATTTACCTCACTCAGACTGGTTTTATCATGACGTAAAGACATTCATGAATGTCCTGCTGTGCCACTAAATAACATTAACAACTGGGATATTTGAACATAACGGCATCTATAAACTCCGTTTGGTTTCTGTTCATCTCAACCAGACTGAGAATGAGAGACAGGATAACCAATCAAACTGAGGCCCTGCTGTAATTCTGAACCTTAGATGCAAATTGTTACAATATCACATGCATATTTCATTAAATACCTCCCAGTCTGTGTGAACACCTGTTTCTGCTGGTGCTAATTTACCATGAAACAAGCCATAGCTTTTCCAGTAGCAGCACACACACACACACACACACACACACACACATACACACACTAAAGACCTCACACAATAAATCAACATCCCAACATTGTTTCACCTTGAATGTTATAGATCGATTTGAAATCAACTCTCCACAGCTCGGTACTGGCCTCAGGCTGTACTCAGCCCGCATTATTTATTTTTATATGGCATCATAGTAACTTTTATTAATTTATAATGGGAAATTGTTCTATAATTATCCAAGGTTGGTGGAATATATCAGCTTTGCCTCCCCAGCTGACTGTTGTTCACTCTATTTTGTATGTCTTGTGTGAAATTTTGTTTAGTTTCCTAACATCACATCCTTTATACCCATTATCTACCTATTATTTATATAAATAACTTGCATTTTATTTTTAGACTGTTAAAAACACCCTGGATTGTTTTGATGATGTTTGTGTAAGTCTTCTTAAATAACAAAAAAAATTATTGTACTTTCTGCCAAACACGTCGCACCACCGTATAAGTCACATCAGTCCAAATATGTCTAATAAAGCGGGAAAAAACATAAATAAGTCGCTTTGCTGTATAAATTGCATCTATTATGTGTCACCGCTGACCACCCGGAAACGTGGGCCGGTGTTGTGCCAAAAATCAATTGGCTGCCAAATGGCGGCCGTGGAAGCGTGCATGGGAGGACTCTAACAATAATTGAACAAGATTGACACTTAAAAACAATTGTTTGCTCGACATTATAGCAAAGGTGTGTCTCAGTTAAATTTTTCCTTAATAAATGCACTTTGATGGTCAAATCAGCTGCATTTCACCTGGGTGGTGCAGTAAAATGCAGCTGATTTGATATTTGTTCTAGGAGTTCTGGAGTGAGATGAAGGTGGCTACTATGGCAAGCCAAGTGTCTCATTAATAGCCACTTTTACCTATAAATGAGATAACAAAGTCCATGCTCAATAATCCAGGTATAAAATCCAACATTTTTCAGTCAGGTCATATGGACAGTTTCTTTTTTTTTGTGCTGAAACTTTTCGCCTTCGATCCGGAAGGCTTCATCAGTCAAGGAAACACACAACAAAACTGATTCTTCCCCCAACAGCTTACTCCAAAGTGGAACAAACCAGTTCTGTTTGTGATAAGATGGTCTCTAAGGAAGAGGACCGGCAATGGAGGAGGGGCGTACCAAAGAGACCATCTTATCACAAGCAGAACTGGTTTGTTCCACTTTGGAGTAAGCTGTTGGGGGAAGAATCAGTTTTGTTGTGTGTTTCCTTGACTGATGAAGCCTTCCAGATCGAAGGCGAAACATTTCAGCACAAAAAAAAGAAACTGTCCAGATGACTTGACTGAAAAATGTTGGATGTAAATAAGATACTTGGCTCGAGAGACCTCTAGTGACTGAAAATGGTAGTGTCCAATATTTTCCATGTCAGAATGAATGAAATGATCAGCTCTCAACCAAAAATTGGATTATAAATATGGGTGAAAAATTTATATTAGTCGCTTCGGTGTATAAGTCGCAGGACTTGCACATTTATGCAAAAAGGTGCGACTTATATGGTGAAAAATACGGTATAACAAGAGCAAGAGAACAGTCAGAACTCTACAGAGTAGTTTTTTTTAAAGTGTTACAATTTATTTTGCTTCTCGTCTTTTTGTCAAGCTTTTCATTTAAGGCTGTAATCTGTTACGTTTGTTAATCTATTTTCAATCTATTAAGCATCAAAGATCTGTTAAAATTCAAACATATATTAAGCTACAGTAAATGTTATGACCACAAAGAACATTTAGGAAGGAGAGAAGAGTCAGGTATGAGGTCAGGTAACACTTTAAGACTCGTTTTCATGCTCTTTAAGAGATTACAAAACATTTTGGTGGTACTCCAGGCTGTCTTGCTGGTACACAGTTGATGTAATGAACTGTTACATCTTGTTCCCAAAAAACCTTTCCAGTTTGTTTTAAGTTAATATTTTTTTAATTAATTTTAGGTTGCAGGATTTCCGTAGAATGCTGAAACAGAGTCGCTCTACTCCCTTTTCTTATTATTCAAGTTCAAGTCAATTTTATTGTCCTTCTCATCACATGTAGTACATGAAGTGGAACGAAATTATGTACTCAGGGTCCCAGTTACACCCAACAATAGCAAAAATATAAAGTGTAAAGAAACCGTATATAAGGATCTAAGCTATATGCCAAACGGTATGCTTAAAGATCTAAGACATATGCTAAACACCAATAATGTAAAACAATGTGGCGTAACACCAGCAGCCTGAACATGAGCCTGTGGTGAGCAGATGGGTATGAATGAATAGAACAGCGTAAGATAATCAGCAGGATGAGATCAGCAGCATGGATAATCAGCAGCACAGCTATGTCACAAATCTCCAATGAAAGTGGCATTACAGTGATTTATTTTATTTATTTAAGTTTTTTTCCACAGTGATTATCCTGGTTAGGGATTTATGAGTCTAACTGTTAGACTCTAACAGCTTCAGGGTAGAAGCTGTTCCTCAGTCTAGTGGTTCTACACTTAATGCTCCGCAACCTTCTGTCTGAGGGGAGTGGGGCAAAAAGTGTGTGTGCTGGGTGAGTGGGGTCCTTCATGATGCAGGTGGCCCTCTTCCTGCATCTGAAGGTGTAGATGTCTGTGACGGTGGGGAGGCTGGCTCCAACAGACTTCTGTGCAGCCTTCACCACTCTCTGCAGAGCTTTTCTTTCTGCAGCTGTGCAGCCCCTGTGCCACACGCATTGATTAATGCTGTTGATGCACGTTGATTATATTAGTGGTCGTAATGTTTTGGCTGATTGGTGCATTTCTCTTTGTGGAATTTTACATATCTTTTTTGCTTCAACTTGTGCTAAACCTTGATGCAAACAGCATTTTAAATGCTCCTTATTACACATATTTTTTATGAACCCTTTTCTTTTACTACAGTCCTTAACTTTAAGTTACAGGTGTGGTAAAGTAGCAAACTTGCAAGTTTTTGTTGAGTGATTTTGATGTGTAAAATCACTGGAGTCCCTATTTAGGAGCAATCAGAGGCTGTTTTGTTTTTAATGAAAAAAAAAAAAAACTCTTCCCAGAATTCATATGTATTTGTGGTGCAAGGGAAGTGACAGTGACTTACTGCACATGAAGGCTCACAGTCTGCACTTCCTCTGACCCCAGCCTGCTCGCTCTCCGGTGGCCAGACCACCAAAAGCTATTTTTGATCAGTCGTCTGTCATGTAAAATGCCAGCAGGGGTGATCTATGCCAGGTTATCTATAAAGTCAACTTATCTTTTTAATTAGTGTGCTAGAGCGGGTGACTTGGAAAAACAATAACTTAGATCTGCAGGAATGATTTCTCTTTGCCAGCTATAAGGTACTCTGAGACACAGCGTGAATGGATGGAGAAGCCTGGAGCGCATGGCTAATGAACCAGCTATCTGTTACAGAGACTAAACACCCAAAGAAAGACAATAAAACCATTTTTCAGACACTTCCTTGAAATAACATGAAAAATACTTCACCACTGGCTACACTCTGAGCTGGAATGCAGAACAGAACTATTTTGCGGAAAAAATACATAAATCTTAACCGTGCCAACGTGCCGAGTGATTCGGTGGAAGTGGGCTCTGATTGCAATTCCTGTCGCGCAAAGGCAAGCCTGTTCTATCGTGTGCATGTTTGTTTATGTGCTGCTAATTGTGGCCAAGAGCAGAGCGGGCCAGGCCGGGCTTAGCTCTGGTAAACAGCGACGCTGAGCCCTCTGAGGCCCCTAACCTTTAACATCAGCAGCCACCAGAAGCCCTCCTTCACGTAACCAGTTGAAATTAACTCTAATATCCTGTTTCTCCTACTGCCAGGCCAGCAGCGACATCTGTAAACCCATGAAAGAACATCTAAAAGTCTTGTGAATGATAGCTCAGATACTGGCCAGTATGAAATAAGAGTAAAAAATATACAGAATTGACAGAAGCCTTATTTAGACAAAATAAACCAGCTTTAGTCTGAACACACATTTGTATTTTGATACGTGTATTGTCTTTTACTGATGCATTTCCTTTAATACATGTTAACTAAATACTACACGCATACGTTTAAATCCAAAATATTTTTACCCACACCTTTTCATTCAAACGTATTGCTGATGGGACAACAGGTGACCAAGGGGTTTCTGGGTAAAAAACAAACAAACCTTGGCCTTGTCAAGCTGTGCTTGAGCCTGTCGCTCTGCTTCTCTGCGTGCTGCCTCCTTATCCTCCTCAAGGGAAACATCGGAGTCTGATGGACGGCTGGTGTAGGAGTCTGCCGAACCCTGTGGAGGCACGAACAGCAACATGTCAGCAACAACAAAACTAAAAGTTAAGTCAGCGTGTCCACACTGTAAGAACAGCAGGTGTTAGATGATGAGCACTGTTCTTCACATCATTTTGAAGAATGCACCTAGAACTAGATAAATTATATTTCCTGCAAAAATGCAGTGTTGCAGAAGAACTTGCTGAAAAACAGCTAAAATTAGCTAAAAACATGCTGAAATAAAGAAGAAGCCTAAATTACAGGAAGATAGCAGAAAGAACACATATTTGCTGAATTAGGATTAAACAAGCAGAAATGAGCATAAAAATAGCGGAAATTAGCAACAAAAAAAACATCTAAAGTAGCAGAAAAGGTAGAAAGACGCTTAAACTATGAGAAGGAAGTGGAGAGAGCTGAAATTAGCTCAAAAACTGTGGAATTAGCTGAAAAAGCTAAAATTGGCATAAAAACAGCTAAATAGCTGAAATAGCAGAGAAAGATTAAACTACGGTGAAAAAGGTTGAAATGAGCATAACAAGCTGAATTTAGCAGAAATAAGTTAATTAGGCTGAAAGTAGCAGCATGAAAAGCTTGAATTTATCTCAAAACAGCTAAAATTAGCTAACAATTTCCTAAAAATGGTAGAACAAGCTTAAATTAGAGTAAGAAAGCAGAAAAAACACGTTTGCCCAATTATAGTAGGCTGAAAGAAGCAGAAATGAGCACACAAAATGGAATTTATCAGAAAAATTGTGAAATTAGTAAAAAAAAAACAAAAAAAAAACTGGAAAAGTAGTTACAAAATCAGAAAGAAGCTTAAATTACAAGAAGGAAGTGGAGAGAGCACATTTTTTGTTGAATTGTTCTGAAAATGGTTTAAATGAGTACAAAAAATATGAAATTAGCTGAAAAAATTAGCATAAAACCAGTTCTATAGCTGAAATAACAGAAAAAGCTGAAACTTGTTGACAGGAACATAACAAGCTGAAATTAGCAGAAAGAAGTTAGAAGAAGCACAAAAATTTTGTTAGCAGAAATAATCTGAAAGGAACACAAAATAGCTGAAATTAGTTGAAAGTAGCTGAAAAAAAGTTGCAGAAGGAAGCTGAAAGAAGCTGAAGCAGAACAAAATGTGAAAGGAGCAGTAAAAGGCTGTAAACAGATCTAAAGATCTGAAGGATGTAAAATGAGCTCAATTCATTTCCTATGAGGGAAAAAAGTGTCAGAAAAGGCTAAATATTTCAAAAAGCTAAAGTTGCACCAATAACAAAAGTCAAAGCATCCTTCTCCTGAAGGAGCTGAACATTTTGATACATCATTTGTTGAAATAGCTTCAACGCGGGACAAGAAATGTGCCGACAAACGTACAAAGAAAAATAGATCACAACAGTGTGAATGCTTCATAAACATTCACACAATAAATGTTAAAATTTCAAGTTTATACAGGTTAAAAATGTGCAAACACACCTCCACACACAAACTTTTGTGTTAAAAAACTCAGATCATCAAAAAAAAAAAAAAAAAAAAACGTGACTGCTTTCATCATCAGCATCATTTCAAATGCATCAACTTGAGGAAATTAGAAGTGATGATTGAATTAAACCAAGATCATGAACATGTTCTTGTTTATTTGAGAAAAAATGCCAGAGGACGTCATTTCATGTCAACACATCCCTGGCAGCTCTTTGTCAATCCTCAGCTTGGTCTCTCTCTGAGCTGAGCTCTCTGTGACGCATGGGAGGATGTTAAGGCAAACCAAATACTAGCTCGTGTAGTTTTTACAAATTAAATCACTCCAACAAATAAACAGATTTACTGCACTGCACACACTCCTGAACACAGGCCATGAATTACTGCTGTGGAAGAAAAGTCAAGCTTACATAAAATACAACATGTATTTACTTTCCAAACCTCACAGCTAAAAATTAGGTATAAAAGAAAATGTAAATGTTGATTGAAAGGCTGGGATTTGTTCACACGTAGCAGGACTGAAAAACTATGAAAATCCAACTTTTATAAACATATTTTATTTGACAGTTTTCAGTCACAAATATAATAAAATCAACAATGTAAATGTATTTTTCTGATTATTTAAACCACTTTAGTTTTAGAATAGTGCTATTAACCTGACTTTGACTGCCACATAATCAATTAGGATCTGACTAAATCATCTCCATTGTTTAATTAAACCTTCACATTTCATGTGACTAACACCAACATGTCCCAATAAGGATGTTGTGGTGTTTATTTGTGCGTTCATGTCAATAAAGACTCATCAAAATTCATCATCAGATGAAGGGTGTGTAGAAACCACAATAACAAGATGTTTAAAATAATAAATAGTCATTTTACAAGTGAAAAAAACGTTCTAACTAGAAAGATCCTGGAGAAACTCTGACGGGGATTAAAATTTTTGATTTGACAGACTATGTGTTGGGGTTCACTCTCAGCCACCACTATACCAAATTTCATCTTAATAGCTTTAAAAATGTCTGAGGTATCGTAATTTCCCCTTTTAGCTAAGGTGGCCATCTTGGATTTTTTATTTGGATTCAGTATGCAATGGGAAACATTAGCTATCACCACACAAAATTTTAGCTCAACATGTCTAAAATTAGCTAATTTATAGCATTTTTCCTTTTTAGCTCAAGTAGCCATTTTGGATTTTTGATTTGCATTAGGAATGTATGAAAACCCGCTCTCAGCTACGACCAGAGCAAACTTCAGCTCAATAAAAGAATGGCTGAGTTATAGCAGTTAGAAGGTGTTGAGTGCCTTTTGAATGAGAAAATTGATTTCTTTGTTTGCAAATTACGTCGCCATGGTAACTCGAAACGCCAAAAAAAGTAATAGCATACATCACAGTGTCGAGCCAGTCGTTTTGAAATATCACTTGTGGGGGTACACGTTGCAGTTCGGGCCGCATTAAAGTTGACGGAAGACTTAAAATATAAAGTTAAGAAATCCTTTGTTAGGTGGATAGTAATAGGTGCTGCCTCTTACAAAGCAGTCCCCAATCATTAATTAAAACGACTGCAGACAACTATAAATCATGACACTGAAGTTGTTTTGTATTAAATATAAAACTTATATATCAGGAATAGAAAAAAAATAACAGTTTAATGTTTAATCTCATGACTCCTGAGTTGTTTGTGGTCAGATTATCATCCTAATTCTTTACTGCAGCATGGAGTTCTTCAGTTCTATGAAAACAACAAAGAAGCTATCTATGGTTAAACTTCACCCCCATTATTGTAGTTTCTACCTAATTAGAATAATCACGCTCGGAGAATCACATTCATGCAATTTTTGCTAACTATTATGTTTATTAGAGTTAGGGAAAGTAAAACAAAAGAGTCAAATTCAACTTTTTCTGTGTTGGTGGGACAAATCTATTGCATAGGGTTGTGCATGGGAAAACATCCCTTATTTAATTATAAAATTATGAAATTTGCTTAAACTTTCTTTAAACAAACTTAAAGCATTTTTTTAATTTCACCATTTATTGCAGCATAAGAACTGCAGCAACATTGACATGTCAATAGTTTACTTTTCTGTGCAAAATACCTATTTATTTTTCTGTTTCAAACAATATTTGTTTTAGCCGATTGCAGTTTTCAGTGGTCCTCGGATTCACCATCAACATATTAACGTGACAGCTGTTTGATTCTAGTGGCCAAAAAAAAAAAAAAAAAAAATCAGATTTTTGTGGCTTTTATAAACACTGAAAGATGATTGAATATATTTTGTCAACACAAAAAGTAGGAATGAAATGCATTTGTAGATGAGGAACCCCGCTCAGCAGACAGCAGTTTATATAAGACGGTTGTCGAGACCTGAAAGTAAAAGCAGTTTTCTTTTATCTCACCGAGTCAGTTTCATCCTCACCTGCCTGCTACGATGCTACAAACACAAGGTCTTTTCTCCGTCTCACTGCACCATTACTGCTGTCTGAGTTAAAAATAGCCTCCTTCACTCTGTGCCTGATTAGAATGACCAAACCATCACATTCATACAAAGGAAGATCATACCCTCTTCTCCATTTACACTACCTCACTTATGATAAATGACAACACAAGTGTTACAAACAATACAAGCTTGGTCATATTGATGTCCTCCACCTTACAGAAAGCACTGCTGCTCATCAATCGTCTGGACGTCTCTCCTTGTTCCCACTTTGGACATGCTCTGTTTTTCTAGTCATCACAATCTCTCTTAATGGCTTTTGCACCAGCAATCAACACTTGTCTCAGTGAATGCTCATGTTTCAGAAGCTTCAAGATTCAAATGCAGCACTGTCCCGTGAGCCATGTTTGGCCTTGGATACTGCAGGTGAGCATACCTGGTCGGCTATGACTTTCCCATCATGTCACCTTTAAACACGAGTCGTGATCGAGACCGCCGTCCCAGTGAGTCAGGGGGAGGTGACATGGAGCTCTGCCCAGAATCTGACAGCCGTAACTGATTACAACACACAACTTGTCGTCGTCACTGGGTAATACACAACTGTGCCACACTGACCCCAACCATTTGGACTGGTGATGGATACTCAAAAGAAAGACAGGCGCAATGCAAAAAGCACAAGTGCATGCACACACACCAACTTTCAGAACATAAACACCAGAAAATCTCCTTACACCGACATCGGAGCTCTTGACTTGACCTCCTTTGGCTCGTTTCAGCAAGCTGATCCAGGTGGCCTTCATCAGCCACACTGGTCATTCAGTGTCCTGAGCCACTGCTCCCCCCTGCTGCTACTACAACTACACTGAATTGCACTGCTGGGATCACCTTTGCACCAGCGTTGCAGCTGTCACTGCTTTGGCTACAGGTACAGTCAACGCGGTGGCTACATGGACAGCTGGCTCCTCTTATACCGAGGCTGTGAATGCTTTCTTCATCTCTGGATAAATAAATTGCTTTGGAGTCAGAGCTCCTTGATTTGCTGCAGCTCCAGTTGGATCGGCTGCTGTCTGGAGAACCAAAGCTCCAACTCCCCCCGCTGCTGCTGCTGCTATCGCCAAAGATAGGGAATACACCGGAGCTCACTGCCCCGCGCATAATCTCAGCAGCTCTCTCCTCTCGTCTGCCTCTGTCTCCTTGATAGGCGGAATGCTCAGTCTGCCGCTGCAGGTGCCGAAACTGACTCCCAGGAAGTCAGGTGGCTGTGATGCTCCTCATCCCCTCAAAGGTTTCACTCCAGTCTTGTTCTCCTCTTGCCTTGGTTGCTCCTTCGTTGTGTAGCCGTTTATTCGAGTAAGTCCCGATGAGGTTGCATGTGACCGACTCTCCTCCTGATGAGAATGAAGCTGCTGCAGCAAGCCCTCTTTTTCCTCACTCTGTCTGAGCCTGTCAGCGCATCTTTTCACCGTACTCCTTTTCACTGCTCCGTGCTACTTCAGCGATCCTGCATGTCTGTCTCTCACCCTCTCCTCTGTCACTCCTCTCTTGTTTTTTTCCTTCAGTTGCCCCTACTGTCTGTGCCATCTGCTCAATTTGTCTCCACAGTGATCATTTCTAAACAGTGTATGTGCCTAACGATGAGTGCTCATGCATCAACAGAACCTTTAGTATCTGCTATAGTAAAAAAAAAAACAGCATTCATCCTGCCATTAATGCTAGCTGTCTGCAAATTGTTGCCTCTGAAGCATCAAAATGTAACGTGCATTTATTATAACTGTAATATTGGTTCTCGTGTTAGAGCTCAACTTATCCATTCTTGTTTCTCTCTTTAAAAAACGCTTGAAATGTTTAAACATTGAGTTTAGCAAATGTCTTTGTTAAATTAAAGCAGTCTTTCTAACATCAGGAAGACGGAAGACATTTTCTGCACAGGCATTTTTGTGCACATGCACTGCAGCTCAAAAGACACTGCACATTGTCTTATTGTTATACAAAGACAGCAATTAGACTACAATGTCACATCCTGAGATGCACAATTCAAACATATAGTTTTAAAGGAAGAAAAATCCTAAACAAATCAAATCTGAGATGACAGAAGCCACAATCGTTTCACAACTGTGCATTAAACAAGACTAAATGAGGTTATTATGCAATGTCATCCCATGGCTTCATCCTATACAAGATATTTTTCACTCCTCAAAGAATATTTGGCAAATGACGATTTACAGAAATACAAAACACGAACAAAAGAGGTTCATTAAACAGTATAATATACACATGCATGTATAAAACAGAAGTCTAAAATATATGTATTTTTTTACATATTTACAGTGCCTTGCGAAAGTATTCACCCCCCTTGAACTTTTCAACCTTTTGCCACATTTCAGGCTTCAAACATAAAGATATAAAATTTTATTTTTTGTGAAGAATCAACAACAAGTGGGACACAATCGTGAAGTGGAATGAAATTTATTGGATGTGTCAAACTTTTTTAACAAATAAAAAACTGAAAAGTGGGGCGTGCAATATTATTGGGCCCCTTGCGTTAACACTTTGTAGCGCCGCCTTTTGCTGCAGTTCCAGCTGCAAGTCTCTTGGGGTTTGTCTCTGTCAGTGTTGCACATGGAGACACTGAAATTCTTGCCCATTCTTCGTTGTAAAACAGCTCGAGCTCAGTGAGGTTGGATGGAGAGCGTTTGTGAACAGCAGTCTTCAGCTCTTTCCAGATTCTCGATTGGATTCAGGTCTGGACTTTGACTTGACCATTCCAACACCTGGATACTTTTATTTGTGAACCATTCCATTGTAGATTTGGCTTTATGTTTTGGATCATTGTCTTGTTGGAAGATAAATCTCCGTCCCAGTCTCAGGTCTCTTGCAGACTCAAACAGGTTTTCTTCCAGAATGGTCCTGTATTTGGCCCCATCCATCTTCCCTGTCCCTACTGACGAAAAGCAGGCCCAAACCATGATGCTGCCACCACCATGTTTGACAGTGGGGATGGTGTGTTCAGGGTGATGAGCTATGTTGCTTTAACGCCAAACATATCGTTTTGCATTGTGGCCAAACAGTTCGATTTTGGTTTCATCTGACCAGAGCACCTTCTTCCACATGTTTGGTGTGTCTCCCAGGTGCTTGTGGCAAACTTTAAACAACACTTTTTATGGATATCTTTGAGAAATGGCTTTCTTCTTGCCACTCTTCCATAAAGGCCAGATTTGTGCAGTGTACGACTGATTGTTGTCCTATGGACAGACTCTCCCACCTCAGCTGTAGATCTCTGCAGTTCATCCAGAGTGATCATGGGCCTCTTGGCTGCATCTCTGATCAGTCTTCTCCTTGTTCCAGATGAATGTTTAGAGGGACGGCCGGGCCTTGGTAGATTTGCAGTGGTCTGATACTCCTTCCATTTCAATATGATTGCTTGCACGATTGCTTAGGGAATCTTTTTGTATTCATATCCAGCTTTAAACTTATCCACAACAGTATCTCGGACCTGCCTGGTGTGTTCCTTGGTCTTCATGATGCTCTCTGTGCTTTGAACAGACCCCTGAGACTATCACAGAGCAAGTGCATTTATATGGAGACTTGACAAATACTTTTGCAAGGCACTGTATGCATACATATATCTTTTATACCTCTTTTTAGGCTTTGCCAGAAACCTTATGTACCTATAAAGCAGTGGTCCCCAACACAGGTCCTTGAGGAACACCATCCTGTATGTTTTAGTTGATTTTTTGCTCCAACACACCTGATTCAGTGTGAAATTAAATCAGATGTGTCAAAGCGGGGAAACAATTAAAACATGGAGGATGGTGTTCCTCAAGGACCAGTGTTGGGAACCATAAGGCAATTTAAATTTAATTTAATCATAATTTAAAGATTTAACAACCAACAAATAAGCAAGACGTAAAAATAAGAGAACAGTTACAGTTTTAAGGGAAAATGTGCATAAAGCCAAAACACTAATGTAGGACTATTAAGAAAGTTCCTTTTATCTCGTCACAGATGACAAATGTAGCTAATCAGTATAAAATAATGATTTTATAAAAGCTCTCAATGAGCAGATTGTATTTCAGTAAGATCTTATCAAGACACATGATCCTATAAGACAAGTTCTAAAATGAAAGAAGGCAGTGGGAGAATAATGAGATTTAAGCACATTAAAGCCAATTACTCTAATAAGGAAGGAAGCTACAAAGGCAAATTATGTTTTGATAAAAGATGAATGGGAATGTCAGACAAAAGAAAATTAAAATATGGCTTATTTACTGTGGAAGCCATATGATAGTCACGGCTGTAGAAACAGATAGGCTGTGAAATTTTATAACCTCACTATACCTGACGTGAACAGCTTCAGAAGAACTCTTTATTGTGCAATGGTCACATATGTTCTCATACAGTGTGGTGACAGTGGCCTCCAGAAGTCTCAGGGCAGGGCACAGATGGTCCAGCACAGAGCTGTGAAGGCTGAACTCTGCTGACATAAACTCACAGCGGCAGGAAGGACCTCGGGCCGAACGACACAACCGACCTCTTGACCTGACTCTGCCTTGGCACCCGACAGCTCAGATTCACTCACACACCTGCCATTAATAACCAGGCGATGCCAATTAGATCGTTAAACGAGGGTTAGTCAGCATTGCTCTGTTAAAATTAGATTTTTAGCATAAAACTTACATATATTCTGTTTCTGCTCCTTCAGTTTTGCTCAACTAAAACAACAAAATCCACAACCTGTGGACTCGCCAAAAGATCAACGGTTTCATTTTTGTTTTTCTCAACATCTGCCAGAATAAACTGAATAAAAAGTGTCGTCTCTACAATATGTGTCATGTGATCTTCCAATTTTTTTTTTGTGCTATAATTAGACTGACTAGTGCTTCTGGGTAAAATCAACTATGCACCTTTTTAGATTTTTTTTTTCAACACCAAGTGTTTTCATACAAACATAAGCATTTAACTGAGCGCACAGCTGTGCCTGAACACAGCCCCACGGAGCTAACTTCATACACCCAAAAGCACACCATTTGTTGTATAGAAACAGAAACGTTTGACCCAAATCGGGTTCTTTCATCAGCGAATCAGAGATATTTGTGAAAGGTGGCTGTCTATATGCAGCAGTCAAAGAATGAGAGATGAAGGGGGTTTGAAAGGGCAATGGGTCCTTTGGTCTCCACTATCCCCTATTGATTTATTAAGTAGAAGTCCTCGTTGCAAGTCCCACGATGACCTCCAGAGCAAAAGGATAGGGATCATTACATTTGGACATACAAATCAAAAGATGTGAGTCAGCTGATGCTGTCTCCCAAATCCAACAGCATCACTTCCTAGATAGTGGATGACGCAGTTATACACCAGGGAATCTGTCCACTACCTAAAAGCTTATTTTCATTTTTAGCTGCTATCTCTGTGCAAGCCCTTGAAGTCACGCAGAAAATAAAGCTCGTGTTTGTGTGCAATGAAGAGTTCATATTCTCTACTCAGGTCCACTGTGATGTCGCTTGCCCTCGTAGTTCTCCAAGTATTCCCTCACTCCACCTTCTTCCTGTTTGCACTTCATTTGACTTCTTTTTTTTCCCCATTTCTGTCTCTTTTATCCTCTCCCCTCCACTTTGTATCCTACACCCCTCTTTACTCCCAGTTTTCCCAGTAGCTTTGGCTTTCTTGCACAAGATGAAAAGGAGGGATACTTGTTTAGCCAATGGCAGTTTTTCAAATCTCACTTGATCCTCTCCATCCTGAAACTCGTTTTATTGTATTTACTTCAGCAACAAGATTGATCAAACTAACTTTCATGCTA